ACATCCTTGGGTTAAAAATAAAAGCAACCAAAAAAGACTAAATGACCACACAAAATGCAATGCAACATACCGAAGCAAGCATCAGCACTGACTCCTTCATCTTGGACAGCCCGTGGCGAGTGATGCCCAGCACTTGGCCACGACAGGTCATCAAGTCAGCCAGAAGCATTACGTGCCTGTGGTCCACACTCAGGCCGTGAGTCTCCATAGTCACGGTGATCTCTTTGATGATCGTTGCTCTGTGCGAGAGAAACGGAGAGTGAAATCGAGGGAATGCCTAGATAAAAGTTAATAATGGAAAAAAATTTAATCTGAATCATAAATCCTGACAAAAAAAAAAAAGTACTTCAAATATTTTGTTTTTAAAGATTTTAATAATGAGAAATAAAAAAGCCAAATAAAGCATAGAAGAAGATAAAGATTAGGTAAATTACACAACAATTAAAAGGAATTTCATAAACATGAAACGAGACAATAAGCAACACTTAAATTAACATCACACAATCCATCATCTAGAAGCATCAAAAAAAGGTCATATTATCAAAAAATTCATCATTAACCATGAATCTACCCAACCAACCTTGCTGCCTCAATCCCCAATGAGGTGAAGACTTCATAAGTGTTGTTTGAAGTGCAACGTGTGCCATCAACACCATATGTTGCAATGACTTCCTGCAAGTTGTCACCTTCCACAAGCAGTTCATACTGGGAAATCCCACTTGTGTCGTTCTGTTTGCATTAGAAAGGAATTCCATGATGAGAAAGAGGTACCTCACAAGACCAGCCCAACTCAAGGGCAGTCATGTGTAGACAAACATGATCAGAAAAGAATGATTAATGAGTGATTATTGGTAATACTTAGGTCAGTGATGATAACAAATAATAAACATGGTGAATCAAAAATATTCCTTGTGTGTAAGGTACCCAAATTCAAGATTTAAAAAACAAATTAGAAGCTATTAACTAATATCCAAAGAAGTTGAAATCAAATTAAACACATACACACACACATAAATGCTGCATGCATTTGTGTGTGTGTTTATGTTTATCTTGATGATGATGATGATGATGATGAAGAAGAAGAATAACAATACTTATAATAATTATAATAATTATAATAATGACAATAAAAATAATAATGACAACAATAATACTAATAACAACAATCATAATAATGACAATAATAATACAATAATAATAATAATGATGACAATAATAATAATAATGACAATAATAATAATAGGGACAATAATAATAATGACAATAATAATAATAGTAATAATAATAATAATGATAATAACATTATTAATAATGATAACAATAATAATTATTATAATAATAATGACACTAATAATAATAAAGACAATAATAATAATAATTATAATAATAACTGATAACAATAACAGCAAAAAATAACACTGAATAAGCTGATTCCTACAAACAAAAACAAACACACCTGAAGCAAGACAACTCAGAACCTCCATCTATCTAACACAGGAAAAAAAAAATGAAAGAGAATGCCACTAGACAGCATGCCACTGACCTGATTGATGACGGCCCGATTGACAGACGGCAGGCCCTTGATGATGACCTTGGTGATGTGCTGCTTGAGGTGCTGCAGCTGGTAGTACATGGACGACACCTTGGTCTTCGAGGGCCGGACGGTGAGGATGGTGTCTGACTCTACGCACACGTCCATCTCTTTCACCTGAGGACGAGAAGGTGTAGTTCACTGTACTATATTCTGTATGGTTGATGCTCGAGCTGATAATAACGGTGATGGTGGTGGTGGTGGTGGTGGTGGTGGTGGTGGTGGTGGTGGTGGTGGTGGTGGTGGTGGTGGTGGTGGTGGTGGTGGTGGTGGTGGTGGTGGTGGTGATGATGATGATGATGATGATGATGATGATGATGATGATGATGATGATGATGATGATGATGATGATGATGAAGAAAATAACAACAATAATTTTTAAAATAACAAATAATAATGACAATAACAATAACAATAATAATAATAATGATAACAATAACAACAACAATAATAATAAAAAAAAAACAGTCAGAGGCAAATGCATCATGTCTTGAGGATACTATGGAAAGACCTCAGTTGATCTATAGAAAATTTAGCAATCATACATCATCACCCTCTCATGGGAACAGAGGCGATGGTGGTTGTAAGTGGCAATTTTTTCAGTATACTTGTATTTTTGCATGTTTATCTACTTTTTTTGTAAGTTTCAAAAGCTTTATATAAAAAAAAAGATAATATTTTGGTATTCTGCATGAGTATCTTAAAATCTTATGAAGGAATTATTCAGTTCTGGGTAATTCCCAACCTATGATTTTGTAGGTTTATCAGTGTAATTCTGTAGAAAAAAATCATGCTATTCAATACAGAAAATTTGGAAAAATATTTAGCTCCATGTTAAACCTTATTTAACAAAAAATAATGAAAACACCAGATATGAATAAAAAAATTAAGACTCTCATATGGGATTATAACTTTTGACATCAATTTTTAAACTACATCTGTACCAAAACTGCAGCATAATTCATATTGATAATGGTCTATATCCACAAGGATTATGTTTGTGCTTGCACTGCAGAATGTTCCCAGTGAATATTATTACAAAACCATTATCTGATATATACAGATCCTTATGGACTATTATTTTTTATGCCTTTATGCAGTTATTAGGATATATTGCCTCTATACAAAGAAAGATTTTTTCTGCCACTCAGCTGTTGTATGTTTAATGTTATGAAAATCATCATTGCCCACAAATGAATCATTTTCCTTTAAAAAGTTAATATTTCCTAATTCACAAACAGTAACATAAGATGACAGAAAATCTCAAAGATAACTAAGGTAGGTAATAGGACACAATATTTTTTATCTACTTGTCACTAGAAAACCCCAATCCCACCACAACAACAGAGGAATGAGCAAAAGAGCATGGAAACCCACCTTGAGCTTGGATGTACAGATGGCATACTTAATGGAGTAGGCATCCACCTCGAGCTTGAGAAGCCTGATGCGGTCCATGGCCAGTTTGAGCAGCAAGAAGCAATCGTCCGGCAGAAACACCTCCTCCACATATTCACAAACCTCCCCCAGAAGGGTCTTCTCAATGCGACCTTTCACCTGTCGCGCCTTCTCCGGGTCAGTGTCACACTTGAGCTTGGCTGTGATGATGGGTGTCGAAATGCTCCGCGATGCATTGATGATCTCCAGGATTCTGAGGAGGAGGATATGAAATATGAGTAGTAGTAACAGAAAGGTATAACAGTGTAGAGATTTTCATTTGATAAGGAGTATGATGCAGGATGATATTTAATGGACAAAATCTAAATTCAGATTTTAACCATGCTCAAAAGATGATGATAAAAGGAAATACAATAAAATATAAATAAATAAATAAAATAAGCAGGTTCAAAACTCCACAAGAATGAAAGTATATATACCTCTCAAATTACAAATGGGTGAGCAATTAGATACACAAATAAAAAAAATAATAATGAACATAAAAAAAGTCAACCCAAGAACCAAAAACCTCAAGAATTCCATCACACAAAACAAACCTTGGCACACCAAGGGTGATGTTCATTGCAGCCACTCCAGCAAAATGGAAAGTCTTCAGAGTCATCTGTGTGCCTGGCTCTCCAATACTCTGGGCACAAAGAGCCCCCACTGCAGTGCCCGGCTCCATCACAGCACTCTGATAGCGATCGAGGCACGAGTTGAGAAAGTCAATGAGCTGTGTAAAAGTTAGGCGCTCCAGCTGACGTTCTACTGGCAGGGCCTTTCCCTTATTGGTGGCTTTGACGAACCGTGACTGTATCTAGAAAGCAGAGGAAAACATGACTATTATGATGAAGGAGTCTCCTTCTCCCTCTCTGGTACAATGTCCCTCACCCTTTTTCTTTTAATAAATACAACAGAACACACACACACACACACCTTATCCACCCTTTTGGAGTACTTTTCCAGGAAGGTCTTGAGCTCCTCTTTAAACTCAGGTGAAAGCTCTTTGAAGGCATCATCTTCTAGGTACTTCTCACCAAGCTGTAGCACTTCCTTGCCAGCTAGGGGGTCCTCACTTGCATAGGGGTGGGTGGCACGTACATGATTCAGGACGCGCTCCAGGTCAATGGGGCCCTTCGTTCCCTCCATCTCTGAGGGGTCTAGACCATCACCTCCATACTTGAACTGATGGGGATGAATGAAGGTGAAGGAGGATGCAAAAGATAAAATGAAATGAGGTGAGGCAAGCAAGAACATGTGAATATGTTTTTTGTGAAAATAAGGAAAACAGAAGGAATGGGTGGGAATTCCTTCTTAACATATTTTCTTTTAATATGTATATTTTTCCATAAAAAAATAATAATAGTTAGAAATATATTACATCACTGGACATTTTACTAGTGTTAATAAATGAGGATTAAACTAATCATTTCTACTTTCAATAGCAACATATTCTATACTTCATACAGATGGATCATATCTCATTAAAATTTTATCAACTTCAACAAACATTCCTTAATCAAATAAGAAAATTATTTATAAAACAACTTTGAGAAATGTTCATTAAACAAACAACAATCCAACATAGTTAAAACATTTCTTCAGCATTTTCTTCCTTTCACTGAAAATTTTTCCAGTCTATCTCAAGCAAGAAAGTTCCTTTTTAATAAAACAGAAACTACATTATCAAAATTCCTACATGATTCCTGTAAAAAATCCCTGTTACCATTCTCTCTCACCTGAATAATATCCTGTGTTGAATTCCGCACCGTCATGTCATATGCCACATACAAATCTTCTAGGGACTTGACAAGTCGACGCTGCATGTAGCCGGTCTCTGAGGTCTTGACAGCTGTGTCAACCAGCCCCTCTCGCCCAGCCATGGTATGGAAGATGAATTCTGTGGGTGTCATGCCAGAGAAGAAGCTGTTGCTCACGAAACCCTTGGCTGCAGGGATCTTTGAGTGCCTGATTAAGAAAAATAAATCAGTAAATAATAATAATAAGGTTGTCTTTTATAAAATAATAAAAGGAATATGGACAAACTGATGCCAAACCCAGCAAACAGTAGTTGAGACAAACTTCCTTCATGCTCTCCTGCCACATTTCAGCATCAAATCCACTTCATGAACATACCACTCAATCCTACCCCGAAAAAGCCCTTCCAATTTGCCCTGCGTACCCACCTCTCATAATGTGGCAGTGCGCGGTCCTCAAAGCCATTGGGGACTCTCTTGCCTCCTATGGCCTGCTGTCCGACACACGCAATCATCTGTGAGATGTTGATGAAGGAACCTTTAGAACCAGAGATGGCCATGATGAGTGCTGCATTGGTCTTGTGCAGTTCCATGACGCAAGCCTTGCCTGCTTTGTCTCGGATGGTACTGAGCTCCTTCAGGATCAGCTGCTCTAAGGTCTCCTCTGCAGTGCAACCTGGCTGGCAGTGCAGCGTGCCCTCCTTCAGCTGCGAGATGAATTCATCACATTTCCTGTACCTGTAACATGGAATAGAAGACTTAAATCCATGCATTCAAAGCCTGTGTCAAAAATGTCAACTGCAATTTTAAAAGTGATTTGAAGTTAGATATTCCCCAGGAGAGATGCTCTATGTTAAATAATATTACTTTTCTCTAGATCCTTTTCTAAAAACTAAACACTATTTCCAAAAATATCATAAAATGAAAAAAATGAAAGGCAGAAATTCATATACAAAAAAATTAAGGGGACAGTCACCATCAAATATGAGACCTAGATTATTTTACTTTTTTCTGGTTGGTATTATTTTTATAGAGGTGCTATATCTCGAGTTTGGTTTCATTTGGTGAATAAACAACTAAAATAAAAAATAAATTCATAATCTTTCTTGTTTGGTGCACATCATATTGTTGGGCTTACTGCTCCCACACTGAACAACAAAAGTCAATGAAAAATATCAGTGACATCTTTCATTTGTTATCTAGAAGTTGTACCAATGATTTTTTATATTTCTTTTACTAGTTACAATATTTGAGTTTGAATTCTGAGGAAAAGAAAATGATGTTTTAATATTATTCAAAATATATACAAAAATAAACATTTCATCAATACAAAAAATTGTATACTTTCTACTATACAAAATTGAACAAAACTAGTGAAATATGAACCATTAAAAAAATGACAAAACAGTCTTTCTCATACCCTTCGTCAAGGAGTTCCTGCTTCCTGGTGAGGAGCCCTGATCCTGGCATGACGTCTCCAATACCGATGGAGAACCCCCGGTCCATCAGGAACAGTGTGGAGACCCTAGCCATCCTCCACATAGCATCAGCTGCATGGTCTTTGCCATAGTCCTTGAGGATGACGTAGAAAAGATTTTTCTTGGAACCCGAGCCCAGCAAGGACTTGTCAAGAGCCCCTGCAAGAAGCTCTGAGTTACGGATCACAACCCACGCCTCGTTGGCACATAGCTCCTCCCCTTTGGTGTAGTCCTTGCGCTTGGCCATCAGGTTGCAAGCCACTGGAAATGACTTGTTAGGTCGGATGATCAGACTGAAAATCTGCTTGCCTGTCCACAGCTCCTGAGGCTGCAGTCATGAACGTGGTAGACAAGGGAAAAGAAAAAATGAGTAAATTAGGCATAAATGAAAGAACAGTGGAAGGCAAGAATAGAAGTAAAATAAACTATGTACAATAATCATCAAGTTGGCTATCAAAAAGAAAAAAATCAGAAAGAGGTAAAATAAAAATGTATATTATAATGATGGCCATTACTATCTTTATCAACAGATTTGTGAGTAGTAATTCTAATCAGGTAGTCAATTAGTACTGAAAAATAGTCTGCGATAACTACATATATACATACATTTAAAAGTGAAAAATTCTTGACAACCAAAATTGAAAATAAAAATAAACATTTAGTCTTATAAATCACAAGAAATCACATAATATCTAAAAACTTTAAAATATGTTTTAGCCTTCTTTACCCATAAAAGTAAACCAAATGAACCTCCACAAGTGAAAAAAAAAATTCCATCAACCATCAGTTCTTGACATTCTCCAGCCCCTCAATCCCATACCTTCATGATAGCAGGAGGTGGCAGATCTACTTTGTAGTCAGCCTCCTTCCCTGCCAAGATGGAGGCTACAAGGGCACAGGTGTGTTCCTTGTCAAAGAACTGGTCCTTCTGCGTGAGGAGGTAGGAGCCCGTGATGAAATCCTGGGTTGCGCCAATGATGAGCGCTCCGTGTCTTGGGGTCACCAGGTTGGACGTTACCTGAGGAGTGAGAGATATTGTTGTCCAGGTTTCTTTTTCCTTTTAATACTCTATTCTTTAACAATTTTTCCTTTGTTTTATTTTTTTTCTGCCATTCCTTTTTTCTTACGCTATTTATTTTTCTGAACACTGAAGATAATTTTATTGAATGCTACCTATTAAGTGACCAATAAATTAATTTAAAAATTTCACTCAATGCCCAACATTAACATCTATAGTGATCCAATCAAAGTTTATTTCTGTACTACTACCGCACTTTCATATCAACTTACCAAAATCAAATTAAAATCTAACAAAAACCTTAACAATACAAAAGATAATATAAAAGAATATATATATAAATTCATCACCCCTCTCTTAAAAAAACACAATAACAACACCCCAGGGTACTCACCCCCATGAGCACCAGTGCCTCTGCCCTCGCCTCCTCTGTCTGTGGCACATGAAGGTTCATCTCGTCACCATCAAAATCAGCATTATAAGGAGTACAGACACACTCATTGAACCTAAAGGTCCTCCATGGGAGAACTCTAACTCTGTGGGACATGATGCTCATCTTGTGCAAGGAAGGCTGTCGGTTGTACAGGACAATGTCGCCATCCATCAAGTGTCTGTGAAGGAAAGCTGGGTTTAAGTTCTTTTTGGGGGAGGAGTGTGTGAGTATGAGTATGAGTGTTAGTGTTAGTGTTAGTGTTAGTGTTAGTGTTAGTGTTAGTGTTAGTGTTAGTGTTAGTGTTAGTGTTAGTGTTAGTGTTAGTGTTAGTGTTAGTGTTAGTTAGTGTTAGTTAGTGTTAGTTAGTGTTAGTGTTAGTGTTAGTGTTAGAGAGAGAGAGAGAGAGAGAGAGAGAGAGAGAGAGAGAGAGAGAGAGAGAGAGAGAGAGAGAGAGAGAGAGAGAGAGAGAGAGAGAGAGAGAGAGAGAGTGTGTGTGTGTGTGTGTGTGTGTGTGTGTGTGTGTGTGTGTGTGTGTGTGTGTGTGTGTGTGTGTGTGTGTGTGTGTGTGAGTGATTTGTATTTTAACCTTGAAGCAAAACCTGTAGGAGCTTTCTTATACTAAAATTGGAATCCACAAGGTAATATTCTTGTTTTCTAAAGAAACAAAGCACAAACAGTTTAAATGTCAAGAATACCTTTCAGACTAATGCTCCCCCCTACCAAATAATAAATAGAAAAAAAAAAAAAAAAACAGCACATTACCCAAAAATATAACCATTAAGAATAACTTGAACACCTTACTAACACCACAAAACCTATCAAAACCCCACAACATAAACATCAAAACAGGAAAAGAGACCAACCTCTCAATAATGTCCCCTGGTTTCAGCTCACTGGCCATCCGCTCCCTATGCACGTATCTCATAGACTTCTTGATGCCTGGCGTCGACTTGGGCTCCACAAACAGAGCCCCAGGATGGACATCAGGGCCGTTCCGCACCAGCTGACGCATGAGGTTGGTGTTGTGTGATGTCACTTTCTCGGGGTAAGACAGCTGCTTTGCTACTTCCACTGGTACACCCACCTGGGAGAGGGACGACTGGGATGAAGATGGCGAAGGAAGACTGGACAGAGACAGAAGAATGAAGAGAAGGTGAAAAGGAAGAACAAAGAAAGAAAAATGAGATGATGAAAAGGAACATGATAAAGGAAAAAAGGAGAGAGATGAATCATGAATCAAGAGAAGATTGTGATTAAAGATGAATGGAAGATAACAGGTAGATGAAGAGAGTATGGTGAGGAGAGGATGAAGGAAGAATCATGGGAGTTGAAATAACAGAATCAAGAGAAAATGACGAATAAACAGTGAGCAAGGAAACATAACAGCATATATTTCTTATGATCTATTCTATACATTAGTTAATCTGTTAGACTCACATACTTCTAAAGAGGACACAAAAAATCACACTTATAATGAGGAAACAGAAATTCATACTTAAAGGGAGGAAAAAAATATTCATACTTAAAGGGAGGGAACAAATATCTATACTTATAAGAAGGAAACTTGGCTTGTATAACTATCTTCTTAATTTAAGCAACAACAAAAAATCTTGAGTTTTGCTATCTTATGTAGTTACACAAATCACCGTTACTTAATATGTTTAATCTTAACTCACTTTTCCACAAGTTTTCACTCACCTCATTGATTCTGAGATTAGGGTCCGGAGAGATGACAGTTCGGCTGGAGAAATCAACACGTTTTCCTGACAAGTTCCCTCGGAAACGGCCCTGCTTGCCCTTCAGCCTCTGGACAAACCCTCGCGTTGATTTTCGCGCCTGAGGCAGAGTTAAAGTTTATTTTTCAAATATATAAATAGCCACATAATTAAGTAAATAAACAGTGTGTGTGTGTGTGTGTGTGTGTGTGTGTGTGTGTATGTGTGTGTGTGTGTGTGTGTGTGTGTGTGTGTGTGTGTGTGTGTGTGTGTGTGTGTGTGTGTGTGTGTGTGTGTGTGTGTGTGTGTGTGTGTGTGTGCGCGCGTGCACACGCACATGATGGTGACAGCAATAGTCATGTTGGTAGTGATTATCTTGTTGCAGGTGGCAGTAGCAATGGTGATGACAATAAAGATGACAATAATGAAAACTTTATTCAAACTGCAACTGTCTCCTTACTGTGCTTCTAAATTTCCGCCTGTGTGCAAAGAATCCCAGACAGTGGGGACTTTGAACTTGGAGTAGCAAGAATGTGAGCTGAGAATGTTGCTACAGCACCACACATAAATATTAATACTGATCTATTTGTCTATAAATACAGAAAGTCCCCAACTTACAAACATAATGGGGACCGAGAGGCTGTTCGTAACTCCATTTGTTCGTATATCCAAAGTAGGGTCTCCATTGCCTTTTCTCCCATTTTTTAAAGTTTTGTTTACATTAAGAATACCTGTACATAAATCCCAATAAGTATTTTTGATGGACTGATGCACAGGTAAAGCAAATTATGGCACAAAAATTGGTGGTACACGAGGACACAGTGAACAGATGCTATCATGTTTATGGCGGGAGGGCAGGCGACTGAGGCAAGTGATGCACACAGCTGAGTGAGCATGGCAGTGCCACGGTGTGGCAGACATGTGAACTATATTCGCGCCTGGGAAATTTGAAGTTTGCTAGCATCTTTCAAACAATTTTTTTGACTTCAGTATTTAAAAAAACTTGTTCATATGTATGGAATGTTCATAAGTAAAATGTTCGTAAGTAGGGGCTTACTGTACCTAAACTCACCCCACACCAGAAATTCACATAACAGTTCCTCACCATGTTGAGATCGTGTGGCACCGATATCTCCGAATTCATCAAGAATGCCACGTGAAGCTGCAGATGTTCCCACGAGTCTTGGATGCTCTGCACTTTCCCTGAGCTTCTCTTGTTGATCAGATTGTTCAGGAAAATGATCTCGGTAAGCATGACTGTGATGTCATCCTCGTTCCTGGAAAAGACCTAATTCTGAACATCCTACTTTCTATCAAATCAACCCAATGCCGCCAGGAAAATGCATGTTCACTTTAGCTTTCATTTGTGAAATATATCATAGATGGCTCCACAAGTGATCAGCCACCCGAGTCAATAAGTAACCCTGTGATCAGACCTGATTTCACCTTTCCTTGAGTTTCTATATCTTTATACTAATACTATCAATGCTGTTATTTTCATTACAGCCATTATACTCATTATAATGCCATCATCACAACTAGAAATATAATACTAAAGAGAGTATTTCCAAATATAAAGGAAAAGAGTAAAGAGATGGGTAGTACTAGTAATTGACTCCTTTGTGAATAAGTACTTGTGGAGCCATCTACAAGGCTTGTAGTGCCATCTATGTGAAAATTAATAAACTTATCTCGCAGTGAGCAGGTTAATTAAATAAAGGAGTATAGTTAGGCAATCTAAACTATTTTCAAAATTCAATAATAATGACTCATACTTAGTATATATAATCTGATTAGCATGGATAAATAGAAAAAACACATCTTAAGAATGTTTTAGAAAATGTCACATCAAATCAATATCTAATAGATGTAATATAAATGCAAATCAACACCCAGTCTATATAACATAATATTAATCATTTTGAAAATTATGAATCTCACAAATAAACAATGGAATGAAAACTGTACGCACACACTTATATACACACAAGTAACTCACGTTCCAGATTTCAGTTCCGAGATCACAGATGGCCTTATGCAGTTTGGGGGGACTAAAAGTCTTGTAAGAATGAGATCCTTCGGATGCGAAAATTGCTGGTCCATGCACAAGAGTGGCAAGTCTGAGAGAGGAATCTGGGGCGCAAAAAAAGATATATATAAATAACAGTAATCTATAAATATAATTGTCTCTTAACTCCAATGAATATATGAGAACTATAAAACAGGAAAAGAGAAAAATGATAATAAAGAAAAAAAAAATGGAAACATCAGACAAAAAATTTTGAAATGAATTAAGAGATTAATCCTACATCACCTAATAAGACGAATTCATTAAATAACTTTATACTACTTTTAACTGGGCAAAGAGTATCTAGAAGTCTGTAATGGAGAAAAGTAACTCAAAGCTAACTGGACATGTATGAGGGCAGCCACTTTTAATCAGCTGTTGGTAACCTGAAATTTCTCTCCTGCTCTCATTAATGATGTAAGACCCTAATGATTAAATTGTTATCATTACAATTATAAAACAATGATTCACAAATTAGTGACTAACAAAAAAAAGAAAAATTAAACTAAAAATTGCACAGACGATGGTAATTGCAAAGTCACTGTCTGACACCTCTCTCATAGATATAAAGGTTTCAAACAATTCATTATTTTGTAGGACTACCAATGATATATGAGACATAGTCCACAGCAGAAAAGATATGAATAATAAGAATTATTATAAATCTTTATCAAAAAAAGTAAAAAACATATGATCTACATAATAATATTCAAACAGACTTCAAGGACACTTACCCTCTCAAACAGATCGAGGACCTGACTAGGATTCAGGAACTCCACAACATTGGAGGCCAACTGCGCCTCTAACTCTTTGTTGTACTCTAATGCTGTGTCAAACTGAGCTGTGCAGAGGAGACATTAAAGTGTGCAAAAATGAAGAGGAAAAAAAAAAATCTTCCTTTCAGAAATAAACAATTTGGATTTATCCCCTAAATAGACTTCCAATAACTTTGTGTATAGCAGGTTTCTATTCAAATTGAAAGTATACTAGATAATTATTAGACTAT